CTCCTCTCTCTCTCTCTCTCTCTCTGCCTGCCTCCCTGCCTACTTGTGATCTCTGTCTGTCAAATAAATAAATAAAATCTTAAAAAAAAAAAAAAAAAAGAAACACGGGTTTTTCTCTAAGATCAGGAACAAGACAAGGATGCCCACTCTCACCACTTTAACTCGACAGAGTACTGGAAGTCCTAGCTGCAGCAATCACACAAGAAAGAGCAGTTTCCAGGGTGCCTGGGTGGCTCAGTGGGTTAAGCCTCTGCCTTGGGCTCAGGTCATGATCTCAGGGTCCTGGGATCGAGTCCCACATCGGGCTCTGTGCTTGGTGGGGAGCCTGTTTCCTCCCCTCTCTCTCTCTACCTGCCTCTCTGCCTACTTGTGATCTCTGTCAAATGAATAAATAAAATCTTAAAAAAAAAAAAAACAAAAAAGCAGTTTCCAAATTGGCAAGGAAGAAGTTAAGCTAACACTATTTGCAGATGACATGCTATACCACATACAGAAAACCCTATAGACTCCACCAAAAAACATTAGAACTGATAAGTAAGTTCAGTAAATTTGCAGGATACAAAATTAACAGAATTTTGTTATGTTTCTTCTATATGCTACTAACCACTTATACATGCACCAAAAAGAATAAAATACCTAGGAATAAACTTAACTAAGGAGATGAAAGACCTATACTCTGAAAACTATAAGACTTTGAAGAAAGAAACTGAAGATGACACAAATAGGAAGATATACCATGCTCACAAATGGGAAGAATATCATTAAAATGTCCATACTACCCAAAGCAAAGTAGATTCAATGCAATCTCTACAAAAATGCCAATAGCACTTTTCATAGAACAAGAATAAGTAATCCTAAAATTTGTTTAGAACCACAAAAGACCTTGAATAGATAAATCTTGAGAAAGAAGAACATAGCCAGAGGTATCACAATTCCAGTTTCAAGATATGTGACAAAGCCATAGTAATCTAAGGATGGTAAAATGGATACACAGATTGATGGAACAGGAGATGGGGAACCCAGAAATAAACCCGGGCCCATACAGTCAGTTTATCACAAAGGCAAGAATTTAGAGTGGGGAAAGGACAGCCTTTTCAATAAATGGTGCAAAAAAACAAAAAACACAAAAAAACCTGGGACAGCTGCTTGCAAAAGAATGAAATTGGACCCCTTTCTTACAAACTACACAAAATTAAACACAAAATGGATTAGAGACCTAAATGTGAACCCCAAAACCATAAAACTCCTGCAAGAAAACATAAGTAGTTATCTGGACATCACCCTTAGCAACATATTATAGATGTCTCCTCAGACAAGGGAAATGAAAGCAAACTTATTTGGGAGTACATCAAAATAAAAAGCTTCTGCACAGTAAAGGGAACTATCAACAAAATGAAAGGCAACCTTCAGAATGGGAGATGATATTTGAAAACAAAATATCTGACAAAGGGTTAAAGTCCAAAATATATGGAGAACTTACACAACTCAATACCAGACAGTTGGTTGACTCTCTTATTAAAAAATAGGCAGAGGACCTACACAGCCATTTTTCCAAAGACATACAGGTGGCAAACAGACACATGAAAAGATGCTCAACCTCACTCATCATCAGGGAAATGCAAATCAAAATCATAATGAGATATAACCTCACACCTGTCAGAATAGCTGGTATCCAAAAACAAAAAACAAACAAAAAACAAAAAACAAAAAACAAAAAACCAACCCAAAAAAACACATGCTGGTAAGGATGGGAAGCAAAAGAAACCCCATACACTGGGGTGGGCAGGTAAAGGTACAGCCCCTGTGGAAAACAGTATGGAAGTTCATCCAAAAAATTAAAAATAGAACTACCATACCAGTGAACTCACACTTACTGGGAAAGTTCACATTCAAATACTAATTAGGAATGGGTTGAGCAGTCTTACAGAGACCCTCAGGTTGAATAGACACGAGTGCACTGTATGTGTGAATGCTTCAAATATACCTAAGATTTTGTCTTAGATTTCTTCTTCTGAGAAATTACTGCTTAATAAGATGGGTAATTACAGTGTTAGCTTAAAAAAATAAAAGCAGTATCATATCCTCCAGTAATTCCATGACTGGTTATTTATCCAAGGAAAACAAAAACACTAATTGGAAAAGATAAATGCACCCCTATGTTTACTGCAGCATGATTTACAATAACCAAGATAAGGAAGCAACCCCAGTGTCATCAATAGATGAATGAATGGGTAAAGTAGATGTGTTTATGTGTTAAAGATACACACACAGTGGAATGTACTTAGGCATTAAAAAAAAAAATGAGATTTGCCACTTACAAGAACATGGATGGACCTAGAGGGTATTATGCCAAGTGGAATAAGTCAGATAGAGAAGACAAATGCCATACGATTTCATTTATATATGGAATATAAAAAATAAAAGACTTAAATACAGAGCACCAACTTATGGTTGCCAGTGGGGAGGTATTTGGGGGACAGACTAAATAGATAAAGGGGATTAAGAGGTAAAAAACTTCCAGTTATAAAATGAGTAAGTCATGGAGATGGAAAGTACCGCATAGGGAGTAGAGTCAGTAATACTCTGAGAATGTTGTACAGTGACAGATGGTGGCTACACTTACTGTGGCAAGAATGAGTAATGTATGGAATTGCTGAATCAAAATATGTTGTACACCTGAAACTAATATAACACTGGATGTTAATTACACGTCAATGAAAATAAAGAGGAGGTTCTATGAAGTTATATCTCACATACAGATTTTTATGATATTTTATGAAATGATACTGTACTATGGTTATGTAAGATGCTGTTAGCATAAGCTGGGTGAAGGGCACACGTGAACAATACACTGTTTTTGTAACTTCTTGTAAGTCTAAACTCATTTGTAAATAAAAAAAAAATTAGAGACAGAAGAAACGTTGGGCAATCAAGGCTGCTAGGGCTAGCCTGAGCAGGATAAGTGGCTAGGCCACAGGGTCCGCAACTGACCTGCCATCTAAGACTTCTAGATGCTGCGCCTAAGTTTCTAGCAGTTAATCGGTATAAACTGATGATCTCGCTGTCTACACACCTTGCTTTTGTCTTTGATGTTATTGGATGGGAAACTATAGTTATTTAAAAATATTAGAGTCATCAAAAGTCGGCCAGGTTTTCTTAACCACGTCTTTTTATACTTTAGGGCATTTAAAATACAAAGAAACATGTGAAGGTTAAACTGCAGTGACCCATTTTCTGCCACCCAGAATTATTAACATTTTGTCACATATGCTTCCAGACTCCTTTTCTGCATATACACTTCGCTTTTTAATTGCAAGAATAAGTTAATGAATCTAATTTCAAAAAAAAAAATGGGTTTTATGGCAAACATACTGGAACATGGCTTTCCCAGGAAGGTGAAGGCTTAACATTATCAAATAATGAGAATGTACAAGTTTTCTATAGTTATTCATCCTTTATTTTTAGGAAAAGATTACTCCTGTCTCTACCTTAGTCCTTTATAATATATTCTTTATGGCATTTTTCATACAATATAATAAAGCAATTTACTTAATAAATGTTTCAATGAGTGAAGAATTTCATTCTCAAAGAAACCAGCAATCCAGTTTTTTTAGTTTTCAGGAGTATTCTCTAGATTCTTTTGGCTTAGTCTGTTCTAAAAATTAGTAATTCTTTTGAAAGCAAAACAAATTTTAAAGTTCTACCTAATATGATTTACTATAAATTTTTCTCTGGTCATTGGTACAAAACTATATGCACTTTATGATTATCGCCAATGTCACTATTTTATTTTAAATTTCTTTTTCTATGTTTTCCCTTAGTTACTATATAATATGCTTTCTTAATTTCTTTATGCCTTCTGTTTTCAAAAATTTTAATGTTTCAGAAACTTCCTTACCAGTCTGCCAAATCCATTACGGAAGGAAGCATATATTCCCCTAACATCCTCAAGCTTTTTGCAAACTGATGAATTTTATTTAAGTTTTAGGTTTACATTTAGGCTAAGTAACTAGCTGAGTTCATACTGTATTCAATAATTTATTCAGTGTTTATTGAGCATATATATTGGGCGCATGAGAAAAAGGGAAGCAAGGAAACAACAACAAACCCATATCCCCAAGTTGCTTAGAGGCTAGACAGGAAACAGAGATTATTCAAAGAATCACACAAACGTCTAATCACACCTGAGACAGGTCTTATGAAAGAGAGATTCATGGTGCTGTACTGTGGGCAGGGGGCGGGGAACAGACTTAGTTGAGAAAGTTGAGGAATGCTTTCCTGAGAAATCGATGACTGATCTAAACGTAGAGTTAACTGTTCCTGGCAGACAGTGTGATGCATGGTAGATAGTTAAGTAGGAAAGATAATCCAGCCAGGGGGAACTGAATTTCTATGCACTAAAAATAATCATTGGGCGCCTGGTTGGCTCAGTTGGTTAAGCATGCAACTCCTGATCTCAACCCAGGTCTTGATCTCAGGGTCATGAATTCAAGCCTCACCCTGGGTGTGGAGCATACTTTAAAAAAAAAAAAAAAAAAAATCAGCCCTGCCTCGGGCTCTCTACACGGCGGGGAGCCTGCTTCCCCCACTCTCTCTCTGCCTGCCTCTCTGCCCGCTTGTGATCTCTGTCTGTCAAATAAATAAAATCTTAAAAAAAAAAAAAAATCACTGAGTCACTAAATGTTAAACCCCTTTTGGATGAGTAAACTGAGAGAGATGATTTGCCCAAAACTCATACAGTGAGTTAATGAAGTTAAGGGCCTGTACTCAGATGTCTTCATTCCTCATCTAATATTTTGTCTACTGTGCAAAGCTGCTTCCCCCTCTAACTTTCTTAATGTTTTGCTTTTTTGCATCAAGGGAAGTGTGCCAGGAATGATCCATTGAGTCAGCTGTCCGCTAGCAGTAGCAAAAATAGTAATTTAATCATCAAAAAGTTAAGTGAACCATTATAAGCAGATTGCTTTTGTCAGGAAGCAATAATGCAAAGTCACTCTTACCTTCAGCAAGAACACACAGAGGATAAATGGGCATCCACAGTGTCTGACTGAGCCAGGTCAAGACGGCATAGGATATCCCTATGACTGACAACATGCTGTAAGTGTACCTAAAACAAGACAAGGAGCTCAGAAACATCATTTCCCACTGATATCTGGGAGAAGAAGAGAAGAAAATACCTTACACTGTAATTAAACACAGAGATACAAGTGGAAAGTTTAAATTCCAAACCTTATTTTCTACCATTTAAGCAGGAGGTTTAAAAAAAAAAAAAATAAGGGGAAGAGAACTGTGTCAGTCTGGCTTGTCTCAGGGGTTGGATCATGGATAATTATGGAGGTAAACAAAGAAAAATGGAACCCTTACCCCTCAGCAAATTATACCTTTCCCTGATGAGTGAATTTAGGTTCACTCAGAAGCTAAGCCCATTTTATCCAGTATGCAGCTGGGTTTTTAAAAACAGACTTGTAAATATTTAGGTAATGAATTTTTAAAACACAAGTGTGACTTCCAAGTCCTTATTGGTCATCCTTCTGCTCGTGCAGTTGGGCTATGCTGTGTGATCAGTTAAAGAGCCAGTTTAGAAGCTTGTTTGGAGTGCAGTAGGTGGTTTTAAAGCTGCCTTCGTGATGTAATGGAGGAAGTAGTCTGCATCTTCTTGTTTCTCTGACTAGGCAGTGGTTCTCAAGCTTAAGCGGACATCAGAATCCCCCAGAGGTCTTGCTAAAGCACACACTGCTAGGCCATATGCCCAGAGGGTCTCATTCCATGGGTCTCAGGTAGAGCCTGAGAATTCTATTACAAACAAGTTCCAGGTGATGCAGATGCCATACAGGGCTCGGGTCTGTACTTTGAGAACTATTGGAATAGGCAGTACGTCATATGGCAAAACAAAATCCAAAATCTTGAAAACATGGAGAAAACTAAACCTTTCTCCCATTCTAGGACCTCGATTCCATTCCTCAGAGACAATGACCAATGCCAGTTTCTTATATATCCTCTCAAATACTCTTGCAATTGCTTATCTGTGTATATAAAAACCATATACCAACAGTGCAAGTCTTCACTAAACACGGCATGTTATCAAACTTGATCTGTACCAATCTCGAAAATGGCATCTATTTTTTTTTATAAGATTTTATTTATTTGACAGACAGAGATCACAAGGAGGCAGAGAGGCAGGCGGGGGGCCGGGGGGAAGCAGGCTCCCTGTTGAGCAGAGAACCTGATGAGGGGCTCGATCCCAGGACCCTGAGATCACGACCTGAGCCGAAGGCAGAGGCTTGACCCCCTGAGCCACCCAGGTGCCCCAGGCATCTATTTTTTATTACAAGAGTAGGCAAGCATCTTACATGTTTAAAACCACTTTTAATGAAGTCCAGTGTATCTTCTTTCTTCTGTTCCTTTGTTTTTGGTTTCTGAGAATCTTCTGCCAAATCCAAAATCACAAAGGTTTACCTCTATGCGTTCTTGGAATTTTATAGGTTTAGCTCTTACATTTGGGTTTTTTGATCCATTTTAATTTTTTTGTATATGGTGTGAGGTAAGGATCCACGCAGATGGACATGTCATTGTCCCAGCACCATTTGTTGAAAAGACTATTCCCCCACTCCCATTTAATGGTCTTGGTCCCTTGTCAAAAATCAATCAACTATAAATGTGAGAATTTATCCCTGGACTATCAATTCTATTCTGTGCTATATCCTTATGGCAGTATCACATTCTTGATTATTATTGCTTTGTAGTGAGTTCTGAAATTGAGAAGTGTGAGTCTTCCAACTATGTTCTTCTTTAAGATTGCTTGGGCTAGTAAGTTCCTTGAATTTCCATATGAGTTTTAAAATTAGCTTTGCAATTTCTGCAAAGCAGCCAGCTGGGATTCTGATAAGGATGGCACTGAATATGTAGATCAGTTTGGAGAGTGTTGCAGTCTTATTAAGTTTTCAACCCATAAACATGGGTTATCTCTTAATTTAGGTATTTTTAAATTTCTCCCAATAGTATTTTAAAGTTTTCCATGCATAAGTTCTGCACATCTCTTGTTAAATTTATTCCTAAGTACTTTATTTTTTGGATGCTATTAGAAATGAAATTTTTCCTTAATTTTATTTTAAAATAGGTCATTGCAAGTGTATAAAACACAATATACAAAAATAATTTTGTATATTGGTTTTGTATTCAACAACCTTTCTTACCGGTTTACTAGTTCTAGTACTTTTAGTGGATTCCTTATGATTCTATACAAAATCATATAACCTGCCAACAGACTTTACTCCTTCCTGCCTTTCACATCATTTTCTTGCCTAACTGCCATGACAAGTATTTCCAGTACAATGTTGAATAGACGTGGCAAGGGTTGTACACTCACCCTAGTTTCACTCATCGTAGGAAGAAAGCACTAGTCTTTCAACATTAACAATCATCTGGATGTGGGGTTTTTTATAGATGCCCTTTTCCAGTCCTTGCATTTATTTATTTAAGATTTTATTTATTTGAGAGAGAGAGTACACACAATTAGAGGGGGTAGCAGAGGCAAAGGGAGCAGCAGACTCCCCACTGAGCAGAGAGCCTGATGTGGGACTCAATCCCAGGACCCTGAGATCATGACCTGAGCTGAAGGCAGATGCTTAACCAACTGAGCCATCCAGGTGTCCCTCTAGTCCTTGCCTTAAAAAAAAAGGAATTTTAGGGTAAGTTGGGAAGATAATTCCACCCCAACATCACAGAGGGAAAAAAACTGAGTTTTGAAAAGGCTACATGCTTAGAAATTTTACTTCCAAGTTATGAGAAAAGAAAGCCTATGTATATACAAAAGCTTGTATATGACTGACTATTCATAGCGATATTCCTCATAACCAGAAAGTATGTCCATCAACTGAAGAATGGATAAATAAAAGTGGTATATTGCTATAATGGAATGTTATCCATAAAAGGAATAAAATACTGATAAAAAGGAATGAAATACTGATACATGTTATAACATAGGTAAACCTTGAAAACATTAAGCTAAGTGAAGGAAATCAGTCACAAAAGGCCATATACAGTATGGTTCCATTTATATGAAATGTCCACAATAGGTGAATTCATAGAGACAGTATATTAGTAGTTGCCAGGGGCTGAGAGGAGAAAATGGGGATTTTACTGCTAAGGGGTTTAGGGTTTCTTTATAGAGTGCAGTGAAAATGTCCTCAAATTAGTGATGATAGTTACACATCTTTAAATACACTAAAACCCATAAATTTTCTATTTTACATGTGAATGTTGGGTGCCTGGGTGACTCAGTCCGTTAAGTGTCTGACTCTTGATTTCAGGTCCAGTCATGATCTTAGGCTCCTGAGATCAAGCCTTGTATCTGGCTATACCTGAGTGTGGAGTGCGCCTGCTTAAGATTCTCTCCCTCTCCCTCCGCCTCTGCCCCTCCCTACCCCCACACTTGCTCTAATTAATTAACTAATTAATTAAGAAATAAATAAAAGGTGAATGTTAAAGTACATGAATTATCTCAATTCTTTTGTTTTTGAAGGTTCAGTGGGATGTCCAAGATTATACAGCAAGTAGTGGCGGTGGGATGCATCCTAAGATCTCCTCTGTTAAAAAGCCCTTCCACGACATCATGATACTACTCTCAATGTTAAAATCATTTTGTTCTCTGATGAGTTTAACTGTGCTCATTAGAAACTGAATTGACACCAAAAGAGTCAGGCATACCAGAGAACAGTATGTCAGAAGGTTCCAGTCCCAGATGGGGCTCCTTGTCTCATGAACACAAAGTCATGGGCTACAAAAGTCCATGAAATTCACCCCAAGTCTACAAAACTATCAGTTAAAAATGAGGAATAACTTACTAAATTATATATACAAAGAATGCTACTCCTTTTCATTCAACAAAACATTTCATTCTAACTCACTCTAAGGCTCAACCTATTACTCAGAAATACTTTAATTCAGCTAAGTTACTGACAACATAGTAAATGAATAATTTACGTAACTCAGCTAAAATGCTAGGGCGCTTTTGTTACCTATCCACACCCAGATCTTGCAAGTAGAAGGGGCAGTTCTCATTTGTGAAAGCCAAAGAAGCAGTTAGGACACCTCCCTAAGATGAGCCTCTGAGCAAAGGGGACTGTTTACCCCACTGCTGGTAGAGACAAGACTAGACCCATCTGTTTGCAAAGTTTTAGAAGTAGAAGGAAACTGAAGGTGATCTAGAGCAAAAGTTCTTAATCTGAGGTTCAAGAATTCCTAGGGTATCCACAAAATAACTTCTATAAGTCATTTGGACCCACTGGAATTGTATATAAAATATATCATGGAGATAAAAGTAGAACCTAGGCGATATAGTCAAAAATATTGTCATAACATATGGGGACAGATGGTGACCGCACTTATCATGGTCGCTGCTGATTAATGTCTAGAACTGTCCAATCAGGGGCACCTGGGTGGCTCAGTTGGTTAAGCATCTGCCTTCTGCTAAGGTCATGATCCCAGGGTCCTGGGATCCAGCCCCATGTCAGGCTCCCTGATCAATGAGGAGCCTGCTTCTCTCTCTCCCTCTGCTACTCCCCCTGCTTGTGCTTGCTCCGTCAAATAAAATCTTAAAGGGTGCCTGGGTAGCTCAGTGGGTTAAGCCTCTGCCTTCGGCTCAGGTCATGATCTCAGGGCCCTGGGATTGAGCCCCACGTCTGGTTCTCTGCTCAGCAGGGAGTCTACTCCCCCCCACCACCTACCTGTGATCTCTGTGTGTCAAATAAACAAATAATCTTTTTTAAAAAATTATACTTCAAAGAAAAACAACACAAAATAAATGTATGTGGAGGTACGTTCTTCCCCAGAGCAATGAGGCCCTGTATTTAAAGTATTCTGGAACTCACAGAAACCAACTTTGTAAATCCTAAGACATAAGAGAAGTCTTGCTTTGCTTGTTACAGTTACATGTACCAGCGCAATTTCAAGGAATGCCTTTCATTAGCAAGCAGCTGTGAGGTTTATCCCAAATTGGTGCTATGCCAAGTCTTCTGCTGGAAACCTGAATGCACTGATTTGCTCTTGTAATACCATGGGAGGTTTGCATTACCTCCGACATGCCCATTATGGAAAGCGCTAAGAATACATTTCGATATCAAGATAAAATAATTTGGAAAGGGGTTATGTTTTCCTCTCTCATTCAGGGTAACCAAATGTAGGCAGCTATTACTGGTTTCACTGTAGAAAAGCAACTTGGCTTTAAGATATTATTTTGCGGGGCACCTGGGTGGCTCAGTGGGTTAAAGCCTCTGCCTTCGGCTCAGGTCATGATCCTAGAGTCCTGGGATCAAGCCCCACATCCGGCTATCTGCTCAGCAGGGAGCCTGCTTCCCTTCCTCTCTCTCTCTGCCTGCCTCTCTGCCTACTTGTGATCTCTCTCTCTGTCAAATAAATAAATAAAATCTTAAAAAAAGAAAAGAAAAAAAAGATATTATTTTGCCTCCTTACCTAACCATATCCAATAGATTCCAAAAGATGAATAAAACACACACCACATATTTCTCTTGGACTTCCTCTTGACTGGTGATCACCACAAAGAGGATAATTATTCTCTCTGTGAGCTAAGAAAGAAACAGCAAAGTCAAGAATTAGGATCATCTGTTAAGCATGTAGGTCATTTTCTAATTTCAAAACCCAGAGTTCCTCTTCAAAGAAAGTATGCTTTAACTGGAAATAGGTATGCTGAACTGCTAACATGATCTCTGAGGGAGTAGGGTTATAGGTCAATTTCACTTCCTCCTTGCTGTTTTTTGTATTCTCCAAATTATACATAATGAATAAAAACACATTTTATGTAATCAGGATATTTCTCCTCCTGCGATATATGCACACGTTTTTATTCACTTTGGTAAGCTTTTATTATATGTCCACTATGTATTAGATGCCAAGGTTTTTACACACACACACACACACACACACACACAGAAAGCAAGGTCCTTGCTCCAGAGGGTAGCAGTGGTAGGAGAATGTGGCGGTAGAATTATGACATAGTGTGAATAATGCTGTCATTTAAAGTGCTCTGAATGGGAGCACAGGTGAGGGACATAACTGCCTGGGGAAAGGATGCACAGATTTATGAAGACAGGCAACACCTCAGTTGGATCTGAGAGAAGAGGCAAGAGTTTCTTAGGTAGACTGATTAGGAAAAAGGACATCCTAGGTTAGGGGAACAGGAAAAGCAAAGAGGCAGAGGTGTGAAAATGCAGGTGTATTAGGGAATAAGGAGAAGCCCTGGAGGCTAGTGTTGGGGGAAAGGCTCAGAAAGGGAATAAATAGGAGATAACACTGAAAACATGGCAGGTGCTGGGTTATAACGGGTTTTGAATGACAGGCCAAGAAATTTTGATTTCATCTAACAGGGAAGCTATTGTAGCTTTTTTTAAGGGGGTGGGTGGAGGGGGAAGAGAAGTAATATAATCCTAACCTTTATAAGCCAGTGGGAAATGAAAAGAATTCAACATCCACATTTTTTTCCAAGTCAGTAAGTGCAAATCATTGAGAATTCACACACTATGGCTTAGCTCCAATTACTAACCTCAAAAACTAAGTTCTTCTTTCCCAATCTAAATATAATAAGCCGCCTTATATCATATTAATGCCCCCTGCAGAGTCCACATTTTTTTGTTGTTTTTTTAAACAAAACATTCTACTTTGCTCTCAATGGTCAAAGGGAAATGTACTTGAGATGGAGGGAGCATATTAGTGATAGGGGAGGACTGCTTTATGTTTTTCAGTAGTTATCCTTATTTTTAAGGCAGATCAAAGAGAAAAGAACAGAACCATCTGTGACTTAGAATCATAGGCTGTTAATCCTGGAAGATCACCTCGTGCAAAGAAATCCGAGATTTGCCAACACTGGGCCACATAATCAGCTATGCTCTATCAGCATAGAGTGTACATGCTCTATCAGCAAGTGTGACCACAGCAGTGAGTCAAGAGGGTCTTTGCTTGGCTAAGGGAATTAGATATGATTCAAACCTTAGTCAATCTATAGAAGCCATTTACATAGCTGTACTGATTGTCAGTATTTCTTTAAAATGCCCTAGTTTCGGGGCGCCTGGGTGGCTCAGTGGGTTAAGCCGCTGCCTTCGGCTCAGGTCATGATCTCAGGGTCCTGAGATGGAGTCCCACATCGGGCTCCCTGCTCAGTGGGAGCCTCCTTCTCCTTCTCCCTCTGCCACTTCCCCTGCTTGTGCTCTCTCTGTCAAATAAATAAAAAAAATCATCACTTCAGAGTGTGACATGTTACTGATACAATCCCAACTACACAGAAATCAGCACTCAACATGCCCCAAACTCCACCATCACGTACATACATGTGGGTATGTGAAGACCCCTGCCACAATGTCAATTTAATTAACCAAGTATCTGATGGTTAACTCTGACTTGACCATTCAATGGCAATACAATGGGAGAATTTAGGTGGAGCTATTCTCAAAGTGGTAACAGCCATTATTTATTGGTTACTTTGTACAAGTTTCTGAAGATATATCATCTCTCATTTAATCTCCATGACCCTAACAAATGAATGTTATTATTTTTTGCTGCCTTTTATAAAGGGCACTGCATCTTACAAAGTGAAAATGATGGGCGCCTGGGTGGCTCAGCTAGTTGAGCATCTGCCTTCAGCTCAGATCACGATCTCAGGGTACTGGGACCGAGCCCCACATTAGGCTCCCTGCCCAGCCGGAAGTCTGCTTCTCCCTCTACCCCTCCCCACTCTTGTGCATATGCTCTCTCAAATAAGTAAATAAATAAATAAAAATTTTTTAAAAACAACAAAGTGAAAGTGCCTTGCCTACAGATCTGCAGTAAAAATCTGGACAATGTGATTCTAAATCCCTTGTTCTGAAACACTAACACATTTTCCCCTTTGTTATTTTATGTGCTATCCTTATGCCTGATATCCAGGTTATAGTCTATTGTTTCAAAAAGCCTCTCTTCAAAAGTTAAACCTTAAAACAAGAACCTCCTTCATATTCTAAATCAACACCAAAACACTTCGGAAGAACAGACTTTTTAAATTTATTCCCTTTTTATGTATAATAATCTGACCAGTTATTTGGGGCTTTACACTTGTGAGAACTTAGCACTTTGTCATTTTAAACAAATCCTAAGAGAACATGACTAATTACTAATGGTCTTTTAGTGTTTAGTGTAGCTCAAACTAGGTAGAAAACAAGTACAGTAAAAAAGGAAAAAAAACCTATTAGGCCAAATTAAAACACTGTCTTAATGTGGTCTACTGAGAAGTATAGTAACTATAAAACAAAAATACTTTGCATTTTTAGGTTCTACTTGGGAATCCTAAATTTCAAATTAAGCAGTGACTAAACCCAAGTTGTTACTTAATAAATGGCAGCTGGCACTTCAGTTATCAATTATGTAGTTATAAACTACTCCCTCTATGGAGAGAATTTCTAGAATTAAGAAGCAGAAAAAAGAAATTAAGAGAACAATCACATTTACAATTACATAGAAAAAATAACAAAATAACCAGAAATAAATTTAGCCAAGGAGATGAAAGCTCTGTACTCCAAAAACTATAAAACTCTGATGAAAGAAATTGAAGATGACATGTAAATGGAAAGATATTCCACGCTTATGGATTAGAAGAACAAATATTGTTAAAAAATGTCCACACCACCCAAAGCAATCTACCGATGTAACGCAATCCCTATCAAAATGCCAACAGCATTTTTCACAGAACTAGAATGAATAATTCTAAAATTTGTGTGGAACTACAAAAGACCTCAAATAGACAAAGCAATCTTGAGAAAGAAGGACAAAGCTGGAGTTCCTACAATCCCAGATTTTAGGATATATGACAAAGCTGTACTAATCAAAAGACAAAGCTGTATTAATCAAAACAGTATGGTACTGGCACAAAAACAGATACATAAATCAAGGGAACAGGATAGAGAGCCTAGAAATGAATCCATGCTCATATGGTCAATTAATCTATAACAAAGGAGGCAAGAATACACAATGGGGGAAAGAGAGTCTCTTCAACAGATGGTGCTGGGAAAACGGGACAGCCACATTCAAAAGAATGAAACTGGACTGCTTTCTTACACTACACACCAAAATAAACTCACAATGGGTCAAAGACCTAAACATGAGACCTGAAGCCATAAGAGTCCTAGAAGAAAATGTAGGCAATAATTTCTTTGACATCAACTATAGGAACATTTTTCTAGATAGGTCTTCTGGGTCAAGAGAATTAAAAGTGAAGTTGAACTATTGAGACCCAAATAAACTTCTGCACTGTGAAGGAAACCATCAGCAAAAAGGCAACCTACTGAGTGGGAGAAGATATCTGCCAATAGTATATATCCTATAAGGTACTAATTTCCAAAATATAGGAAGAACTTCTACAACACCAAATATACCAAATAAATTGATTAAAAATAGGCAGGGGACCTCAACAGACATTTTTCCAAGGAAGACATACAAATGGCCACAGACACATGAGAAGATGCTCCACATCACTCGTCATCAGGGAAATGCAAATCAAAACCACGAGATACCACCTCATATCAGTTAGAATGGCTAAAATAAAAAACACAGGAAATAAGTATTAATGAGGACATGGAGAAAACGGAACCTTCGTGCACTATTGGTGAAAATGCCTGTGGTGCGGTCACTGTGGAAGACAGTATGAAGGTTCCTTAAAAATTAAAAATAGAATTACCATATGACCCATTAATTCCACTACTAGATATTTACCCAAAGAAAATGAAAACACTAATTTAAAAAGATATACACACCCCTATGTTTATTGCAGCATTATTTATAATAGCCAAGGTAAGGAAGCAACCCAAGTGTCCATCCATAGAAAATGGCAAAAGATGTAGTATAATTATATATAATGGAATATTTTTAAAAATTATTTATTTAAATTCAATTTAGTTAATATAGTGTAGTATTAGTTTCAGAGGTAGAGTTTAGTGATTCATCCGTTGCATATAATACTCAATGCTCATTCCATCAAGCAACCTCCTCACCCAGCTACCCCATCCCCCCCCCAACTCTCAGTTTCGGAGGCAAACCTTAAGAGACCCTTAGGTATAGGAAACATTCCTATACCTAAGGGTCTCTTAAGGTTTGCCTCCCTTTTAAAAAAAATTTATTTTTAAATATTTTTTTAAATTTATTTGAAAAAGAGAGCGTGCACAAGCTGGGGGAGGGACAGAGGAAGAAGGAGAAGCCTGCTGAGTGGGAACCTGATGCAGCGTTTGATCCCAGGACTCTGAGATCATAACCTGAGCCAAAGTCAGCTGCTTAACCTACTGAGCCACCCAGGTGCCCCAACTCCCTGTTTTTATCTTATTTTTCCTTTCCTTCTCCTAGGTTCATCTTCTTGTTTCTTAAATTCTACATATGACTGGAATATAACTCAGCCATAAGAAAATGAGATCCTGCCATTTGCAACAGCATGAATAGACCTACAGCGTATAATGCTAAGTGAAATAAGTCAAAGAGAAAGACAAATACTGTATGATTTCACTCATATGTGGAATTTGAGAAACAAAACAAATGAACAAACAAAAAGGAGAAA